CCCCAAAACCCCAAAACCCCAAAACCCCTCTAAAACCAGACATTATTGAAGTATAATAGAAATATAATGAATACAATTAAGTGCAGTTAAGCTTATTGTTGTTCGCCTGAAAATTTAGAGTCCGCTTAGTTTTAAGATTCAAACACGAGGTATCGGTATTTCAGAAGCTCTAAACCTGAGTTTAGTCTCTATGTGCTCAACAAGCAATACAAACTCAGGTACTCCACGAAGCATCAATTCCTGAGGTATCTCCCAGTCAAGCGGTTCATTATTTTGATGCATTGGAAAAATTAATGAATAAAACACTAAACTACTTCTCTGAGCATCGAAATGATAGAGGTGTTCTAATTTGAGAGGGACTTACCTAAACATACAATACTTATATCTGCCAAAACCTAAACTCGAGGAGGTAAAAGAGAAGTTAGAAAAGTACATAATCTGCATAAAATCTGCAGAAAGCAGGATAGAAGAGAATAACTATAACAGGAATTGCCAGCTATCGACCAAGAAACCTAAAGCTGTGAAAAGTGATGCAAACTCTAAGTCTCAGAAGAATTATTCAAACTCAAAGCCTCAGATAACCTCTTCCAAGAGCAATTGCTCTATCGTCTATAATTCTGATGAATACTATTCCATAAATAAGAGGTCATGAAGATACTCAATAGTTTGAGGAATGAGCCTCTGTTCATGGACTTTGCCGTAGGGAAAGTCTGTGATGGTACTAATGATCAAATTAGTAATGAAAATAATGGCACCTTGTACAAGAAAACAGCCAGTGCTGCTTTAAACATGATTGAACAAAATCGTGAAATGATTTAAATTTGAAGAAGAATCTAGTAAAGCTATACTCGTAGTTGTAAAGGCTTCTCAAGAAAAGATTCAACTACTAAAGGACCTGAAAGTCCAGATTAAAGAATCTGATAGTGCTTGGACTAAGTAGAAAGCTCAGATAGAAGAACATCAAGCCAAGATCTCAGAGATTAAAGAAGACCATGAGAATAAAGTTCAGATACTTGAGCAAATTTAAGAGGAGGAACTTGTTCAGGAAGAGATGGATCATGAACACCTATAAGAAAATATACATAAAATCTTATGCAGATTGAACAAGACATATATTAGACCTGCCCAAGAATTATTGCAGGAGAAAGTAATTCTCAGAGGAAAGAAGAAGAGATACATAACAATTAGGATGTTCAAGAGCATTTATTTACATATTTTAGCATTTATCGACTCAGGGAAAATCATGACTAGGGTACCTACATGTTCCAGCTTAGGTATTGAAGAATGCAAATATAAAGATGAATACACTCCACCTGTCATTACCTGCTCTCCGAGTAAAGAAAGAGCTTTTATTTTCAATCCTGGTAGATAATTCTAAGATATTGATGGTTTTATGCCCACAAGTGGTTATGCTTAATGGTCAAGTGGAGGAACATATTATTCTCAGCAACTTTAACATCAGGCAAAAGAGGATAGCTCAGCTATTCATCGTGATTAAGAATAAACCCTGAGTGTCATTGATTCCCTATAATATTGAACTATCCTCGGTTACTGACTTCAAGTCTGAGCTTGATGGATGTGCTATTGAAGAACTCGAGTTCAGCAACATGGAAAATGCTAAATATGGAGACTGGGCCATCTCGGAAGCATTCTAAACCTAATTGAGGGACTGCTTAAAGCTGCAGACTTTAAAGCATTCCTAAAGAAGCTCATAGACTCCAAATGTGTGGACTTGGCAGTGAGAAGGCCCAATAATTAATTTTAAAGAATATCTTATGTTCAGTGGATCTGGAGTTTTAATAAATTCTTATATGACGGGATTTTCAATTTCTTTTAAGAGTAATGGGGTTTTGGGGTTTTGGGGTTTTGGGGTTTTGGGG